TGGGATTAAAAAGAAAAACAAAAAAAAAAAAAAAAAAAGGAAAAAGATATCTGCTTCTATTGTCTGGCTGGTTCCAGGTGTTCGTATGTTATGCATGGTTGGAAGAGGAGCATTTGGCTTGGAGGTTTTTTTTCTTCATAGGAGGACAATGGCAGCCCACGAGTTTGGGAACATGTATGTAAACTTAGAGAGAAACAACCTGCTACAAATACAGGAATGATGAATGACCATAACTCGTACAGCCAATTTCGAGGATTAATCTCCCTGGTGATTACGTATTTCCGATATTCCCAGCTGAAAACTGTGTGATAATCCATGTATTTTCCTATTGTTTCGAAGCAGGCTGCAACTCTACGGTTTGCCGTATACACATTATGGTCATATGCCTGTCTAAATGACGAATTAATTCAGGGTTTCTTGAATCTTCCGAAGCCAAGATGGTATAGCTATCTTAGAGTGTCGTGAAGCTGGTGTCGTGGTTTGCTGAGGCTGGAATGGGTTACACCTAGCAACACATTCCTCATGATATTGAACTGAGACCCTGGAAATAACCTCAGCAAAAACGTCGACACGCAATTCAAGAATTAAGATGAAAGCGGGCTTTTTCCCTTTGAAGGGTTTCTTCTTCGTTTGGCTTCCGCCATTGCACGTTGTCTGTCCTTTTCAAGCCTCGTGTACTTACCTTATTAGTTCTCGATGCTCACGAAGCACTTCTGCTGGCTAAGGGTTTTTCAAGATTCAGCTACGGCAGTGTAAATAATGATGGATCTCTCAAATATTTCACGGAGAGCCATTCATGGAGCTGGTGGACTTGGTCTCGGATGGATCCTCACATTTTCCATTGGTGGTGCAATCCTCCTTTTTGCGGCGATCGGCTTTCTTCTTACTTGGCGCGTTAAGTCTCGAGATAAAGAGGACGCGACTACTGTATATCAAGTTTCGGAAAACGTCGAGGACCATAGACGATCCATCTTTACAAAGCGGCTGGTCAAGCGCAAATACGCCATGTCAAGATCAGTCAGTCGACTCTCGCTCTCGCTGCCACCAGTATTACCACCACTCCCGACATATAACAGCTTTACCTTCTTCGGCGGAAACGGAAAACGAGGACGATCAAGTAGCTGGGTTGAAGAGGATAGATTCCACGGTCCAAGAGTCAGCAGGAGCCGTCGCGATAGTCTCTTTAGTCGCGATGGATGGTTGGGAAGAGCACCAACAATTCCAACTCTCATGACGGATGACGACCTAGAAAAGGCACAAGATAGTCAGGAGCTTGAGCAAGGGATCAAAGTCCAAAAGCGACAAAGCGTCGAGACTCTCAAGCCAAGCAAAACTGCACCTGAGCTACCCATGCCAGAAGATGAGGCTCAGACGAGTCCCGTGCGAGCTCCGTCAAGAGCTCGTGTACGAGCTTCTGTAACAGATACAGATCTTCGAGATATCCTTCGAAGTACGGAACAGCGACTCCGAGAAGGAACGAGCCGTTCGCCAAGCAAGAACTCGCGCAGCTCACCAACAAAACGTTCACCACAGAAAATCTCATCAGTGAGAAGCACACCACGCAAGAACTCTCCCACCAAGACGCCGCATAGCCACAGGACCATATCATCTGAGGACTCAACCAATACAACTGGAACAGTTCGCATTTCAAGGATTCCGCCGAGCCCTACCAAGAGAGCTACTATTCATGTGGTACCTTCAGATGCGCAGAGTCGACAGGTTTCTACTAGCTCGATTGGAAGTGCTGCGAACAGCCTGATTGCTGAGGCGACGCAAGAGCTGGTACTACCAGGAGGACTGTCAAGCCCAAGCCGAATGAGAGGGCGTCAATGGGACGCTCCGGAAGACCAAAGTCCCGAGAAGCAAGACCCTCAAAAGAAGGCCTCAAACAAAAAGTCTGCAAAAGAGGATAGCCCCGATAGACGGGCCTCACAAGATAGCCAGGCATCAAGTTCACTTTCAACACTGTACAGCGCCAATGACCCCGAAGAAAAGGACCAGCCAGATCCATTTGTTGAGCGCAAGACTCCTGGATTTATGAGTTCCGAAAGCAGAGGATCTTTGTTTGGAAACCGAGCATCACACAAAAGGGGAAGGAATTTGAGCATATCGATCCCAGGTGGACAGTCTATCTTCAACACAACAGGACAACTTCGGCCTTCGTTTGTAAGCACACAAGCTGTTGGAGGCCCTCCCATCTCCTCATACTTGCAACCGCCACCAGAGCGATTCCAGCGTAATGATACGTACTCACGCGATCAAGATGGTATTGCTCTTGCGTTCCCTGTCAGCAATTCATACACCAGCATCCTGACACCATCTGTGACGACTACCGAGGGGGATAGCACACTTTCACTCGGAAACAGGATGAGCGAGAGCCCCAAACCTGAAGTACCGGAGCGTGTGAGGCCACTGCTGCAAGAGAACAGACATAGCGTGGCGACAGTACCGAGCCCCTCGACAATGACTTCTTCGCCATTCGACGAGCAGGATATGTTATCGTTATTAATGGGCACCGCACCCAAGAGAGCACTCCCCGAGCCACCAAAACATATCGCCCAAGTCGACCAGATCGTCATGCCAAAGCCAGTGTCGCCAATGCCGAGACGAGAGTTCTCACAGCATCTAAGACAAATGTCCTCAACAGCGAATACCATATATCATGATGAGCAACCGATGGACTCCCCAAGCGCTATTTCTACAGGATCACCCCTTCGCCGTTCCATCTCACGCTCGAAGAAGGATATGCCGAGTCTTGCACCGCCGACAGTACCAAGCATGGGATCCCTTGGAAATTCGATCATGGAGCTCAGGAGGATGAACAGCGTGGTCAGTTCTTATAGTGGTAACTCATTAGGATCTTCTGTCAACGAGCCTGATTCGCCGACACTGCCGATGTTGAACTTGACCAGCAGCTTCTCGCGAAGAACTATAAATCCAGTCACGCCGAGAGCAAGCATGTCTGGTCGCCAAAACTACCTCAATCTCGGAAGTCCTAACAAGAACTCGTCGGGATCAGTTGTGCCACCCATGCCAACTCGTCCACTACCACAAAGCCGCAGCAATCGTTCAAATTTAGGAGTTGAAATACGCGAGGATGATATTGATGAGGGGAAAGAGAATCAAGAACCACCTTCGACATCAAGTGGGCTCAGAGAGACACGAAGGAGTGCGAATATGGGACGTGATACTCGCGACTTGAGCCAGGCACCCAGCAAGACCAAACTTGGAACTGTGAGTGAGCTCATCGCTGAAAGCAAACGCGACAGTAAGCGTAAGAGCGTGGATTCGATTGGATTATACGACGCGGATGGATTTTTGAAGAGTTCGCCTGTGGATGCGAAGGGACGATGTCTACGCATGTAAATGGAAAGCTCTAATTCTTCTTCATCATTTTCCTTTGGCTTTCTTTTGTTTATCGAGGACTCACCATCTCATGCAACATCAGCAGGCTAATTTATGCACTTTTTACTGGGGATTGATTGGCTTTACCGGGAGCTTTTGGACTCGTAAGTTTTATTGGATTGGTATGTAGGTAGCTTAGGTAGAAGCTCGTTGGATATATACCCTTCGGACGTAATCTTAATAGAAGATCGTATTTATACTGGCTGCGTTGAAAATAAAAGGTTCTTTTCTCGAGTTGCTATATCAAGCTGAAACTCCTAATACATCGATCAATTTTGTCTTATTTGCCCTAACGCCCTGCCATGTACTCTTGTGAGGTATCGTCTATTACTCCACTCGTGGTCGCTTGTTCTCAGGATCAGCAGCGACTGAGGTTTCGGCTGCATCAGCGCCCTCAGCTTCATCGCGATCTCGCACTCTTCCTGCGCCTTCTCCCAGTTCTTCCTCTTGACCCTCAGCGCCAGGTCCAATCCAATTGCCATCTTCGTCGAAATACTCGTTCACGTTATCCGCTGTAATCCAGCCGCCGCTACCAGGCATAGGAGGCGGTAGGCCGCCATTGCTAGCACCACGCAGAACGCCCGTGAAACCCTCAATGGCCTGGTGCTCCTCGCTGCCCTCGAAGACAATACGATCATACTCATCCTCGTCTTCTTCGCCATCGTTGGGGTCAGGGTGAAGGTCCGAACAATTGGCCATGGCGTCGTACAGTGCCTTAGCGACACTGGACTCAGAATCTGATTTGGGTGGGATGATGGTAAGGTCTATTGTGCTAAAATCATCGTCTTCGGCACCGCCGTCTGAGAATTCAAGCTGCATCCATACAGCTTGGGTACGAGGCGCATCTGTTTCGGGACCTAGCTGTTTGATCGCGTGGATGGATATCGAGGGATAAGGAATTGAGACACCTGCCTCAACCTTGGGACTAAAGATAGTCAACGCTCTTTGTGATGTTAGTTTGAGTTATACCATTAAAACATTAGACTTACTCTGAGTTCACAAAGACATCCACTGCCTGCTCTATAAGCTCCTCGACATCGCCATTTATGCTGTCGCCTTCAGGAGCACTAGGCTTCTCGCTTGAGTCGGCAGGAAATAGAGCTAGACTGCCGCATTGCGCCTTGGGAATCCATGCCTTTGCGCCTTCGAGATGGTAGTGAAGAACAGGCTTTCCACTGACGAAGCTTTCGGGCGTTGTTGACTGGTACTCGGCCAGAGGCGTATAGTCTTCGGCCTTTGGCGGCGTGCGTATAGTCGTTGGCAACATGACTGGGTGTTTGGCGTGAACTGGCTTGTTTGGAGTGGAGGGGTTCACCAGGCAGCTGAAGAAAATGTATATCGCCATGAAAGGTGGGAGAGCTTTATCGTCGACCGAGTCTTATCGATAAGCTTATCGCACTATGATGACCAGACAGGCGCGTCGCTTGACCTCAACCTCAAACTGACTTACACACTCAACTTTACACGATTCCAAATTGCCTCTTCTCTATACACAGTATCTATAATTAAATATTACGGGAGAAAGATATCTGCAAGATCTTGTAAAAGTGCTTGAGCCGATTTCCTAATACCCCAAGATTGGCATAATTGCCAACATGCGCGACAACAAGCGTAGGCTTCACTCACACACGATGCACAGCAAAAAGCTAATCCATCCTCAGGATCCCATCCTCTTCTGGAGCAAGTCCCTTTGACAGTCTCTCCATTTGTGTCGCTTCCAACAGCGACAACACTCTCGTATAACTACAAGACTATGCCCTCAAACATCCCACCCTCGTCCTTGGGCATCGAGGCAGCATCAGATAACCCCGCAGGCCAAACCAGGCCCAAATATGTGGTATCCAACTCTGGTCATGCGGCACATCCAGAAGACATCATCGCCTCATGTCGCGCACTTCAAGCTTACGTGACCAAAATGCAAGAAGATGCAGAGCGTGAACTCCGAGAATTTGATGAGAAGATCAAGGCGCGTGAACTCGCGGAGAAGAGGAGAGTTGCGCCTGGCTGGCTTGATAGTGAGATGCACATGTTGGAGCCCGAGAGGAGTACACCGGCGCAGCAACAAGGTGCCGGAAACGTACCAGAGCATCAAAACACTCAGAGCGGAACCGACACGAATGCGACAGAGGACCAAGGTGCAGAATTGGACCGAGTATTTGGCGGTATGGCTCTGAAATAACCCACCTAAGTTGACATCTTACGAATCACGATAAACGGCGCAAGATATAGTTCTATAAAGCCTTGCTCTTGTTAATTTTACGCAATGGTTCTTTTTCATCACAAGACCGTGGAGTTTAGGAGCTTGTTGCTCAACAGTTGCGAGCTCTATATCTAGCTTTTGTCTATTTCTTAATGGTGGGCACAGAACTATACTATACATCTGATACATTCGACACTCTTCAGTTTTCCCTGACCACAATGGCATGGATATTCATTTAGTGTCGCTTGGAGGAAGCAGCCAAGATCTTGCTAGCGGCATGTGCAGCAGCAACCATAATGGAAGCCTGGGTATTTCCAGTAGGAACCTCAGGATGCATGCTACCATCGACGACAAACAGATTCTTGGTTCCCCAAACTCGGGTGTCAGGCCCAACAACGCTCTTGCCATCGTTCTTGGCTCCCATATTAGCCGACCCGAGATGATGGTTGCCACTGTACGAAACCTCTAGAATAGTGTCCGCGGTGACATTGCTAGGCACGCTTAGAACGCTACCAGGCTTACGTGCGTAGCTAAGAAGTTCGGCGACAAAGGTCTTGAGAGCATCGCGGTCACCCTCAGTATTGAGGAATGGCTTTTGGGTGATGTTGGTGTTGCCCTCAGGAGTAATCTCGAGGGTTCCGTGAGATGTGAGGCCGTGGGTGAGATAGACCTTGGCTGAGATGGTGTTGTTCTCAGGGGCATTGACTGTACCTTGCACATAGCGGGTCACTCCATCACTGCCTTCGACGCTCTTCCAGAAGTTAAGACGCTGAGCTGACTGCGAGAGAAGGCCACTTCCTTCGGCAAATAGCTCAATAGTCTCGTCGCTAGGCTCAGTGAATGCCTCTTTGGGAAGGGCTTGAAGCTTATTCTTGGTCTGGAAATCCACGACAACAATGGGATGGTCCATAAGCCGCTGACCAACGGGAAGGTCGATCCACTGAGAGGCAGGAGGGAGCTTGACGTTCGTAGAGCCGGACTGTACAATGCGGATTTGCTTCTTTGGTCCAATGCCCGAGTTGAAGAGGATTCGAGGTGTCGAGTGAGTGCCAGATGAGAGGACCACGGAACCGCCCTTGCTCAGCTTAATGATCTCACGAGAGCCGTCGTCATGCTCTGCTTCGATCCCGGTAATGATAGGGCCCCTGCGAACAGCACGGATGACCTTGGCGTGAAGCTGCAAGCTGAAGTTGTCAAGGGCCTGTGCAGCGGGTAGAATATCACGAACGGGGCCACCTCGAAGTCCATTGCTGATCTAAGTGATGTTAGAGCTTTCTCCCAAGTACAGGGATCAAACTTACCAGCCAAGGGGGATGCGTAAAGATCTTATCCTTCGTCTCGACGTTCTCAAGAGCATTGACTTCATCCCAACCATTGCTCTCAAGGAACTTAGACATAACCTCAAATGCACCATCATCATAGCGCTTTCCATCGGTCGAGGGAAGAATGCTCCCGGGCATGCGTTCGAAAACGCTCTTGGCAGCATCGGACACTCCATCCTCCCATCGCCATCCCCTAGGCCAACCCTCAAAGTCAGCAGCTCGGGGCTTGACAAACATGAGAGCGTTCAACATGGTAGATCCACCGAGCAGGCAACCTGCTGAGGCAGCAATGTCTGTGCACCACTGAATGGTCGGTGAGATATCCGTGTAGTAGGCCATGCCTGGGACATCGTATGCGGTGACGGTTTTGTTCCACCTCATCAAGTCATCCCGGTTACCCGTTGAGTAGAATGAAGGACCACCACGCTCAACAAGAAGAACCTTGTGGCCAGCATTGGCAAGTCTCTCGGCAACAACCAGACCCGAAGCACCGGCATCGGCTATGATGTAGTCGTAGGTGGTTTTCCGGGTGGTAGTGTTACCAGCAGAAGCAAGGCCCAGCAGAGCCGAGCCGATAATAGTGGCGAACTTCATTTTTAGAGCCGGAAAAGACAAAGAGGAAATGGCCTGAAACGCAAGTCTTGAAGAATTGCCAATGCCCTTTTTATATCCATCGTGGGCAGAGCATCTTGTAAGAGATTAGATGAGATTGATAAACTCCCCACATATGGTTGCTGGATCGAGCATAAGTGCCGACGCTGAGTGGATTGCTGGTGGGTAAGGGTAACATTAAGCTTGTTCTTCAAAGTTATCAGATGGGGAATCGACAGGCATTAAGACATTTAGTTTAGCACTGTTGTCATGGCATGGCCGAGTTTTAATACCTCATTTGGATGGAATCACAGAGTGGTGCTCTTGGTTTACTCTTTTATGTAAAGGTAAGGCACTGAATTTGTGCCATGTCATGTCTACGCATTGCCTTAAGTCTGTTCAAGGTGTCCAACTGTACAACTAGTGAAGTCCTTGGAGTTAGAGAAATCAACCAACGTCAATACACGTGAATTTCTATTCAAGTACGTGGCAATGGACTACGTCAGCTTCACCTCTATGGAGCCTGTCCATGTCGTCCGTTTATTCCGAAACCCTGGTTCTTGACGCTTTATATTATCAATTTCATCAGATAAGATCTTGGCTAAAAGTTCTTCCATCAATGGAGCCCACGAAGCCGGATGGCCGCAGGCATGCAAGAGAAGCTTTGTAGAATAAGATATAGGTGATGTTCCTGCATGCAAATGCCTGATAAAGAAATTCAATAGCACTTGTGCTTATGTTCTGTGTTCAGAGAATAACAGTTCAAAGTAAGCTAAATTGCAGAGTGTTTAACATTTACACCCGCTTTTACATGTCAAGATCTTCTGAAGAAGCATGAGATTATCATAAGTTCAGAGGCGGGAAAAGAACTTTACTCCGACCACGGGTGAGCTTTCTGCCAACATGAGTCCAAATTGGCCTACTTGGCGACTTGCATTGATGAAGGCATATATTTTGCTGTCAAGTGGCCGCTGCTCTAATCGAGAACTGATAAAATTTTCGTTCCGTGTTCTAGCAAAGAACCGTCTGAAAAGAGATTCGTGATTACAATGTGAGGGCCCAGCTCGTGTTTTTCAGAGCTTAAACTCAAGATGTTGGACCAAATAACTTCTCATCACTTACCATCACTATTTTAGCTCGGAATATCTCTATAATTGAGTACTATATGGCTAAAGGTGTATCGCGAAGCAAATAACCATTATATTGTTTCTCCAATTCACGAGTTTGGTACATTGTGTCATGCTAAGGTAGATTGCTATGCTCACTCTGTCAGCGACTCATGACCGTGAATCACAATGAATATTCATAGTGAGGCTCCGGACCCATCTACCTCTTTTAAATCAATGAATCCTCGTACTTTTTGGTCAACCAAAATCTTGTGTAACCACATTTTGCGGATAGTGGCATTTCCTCGTCGACTTCACGCTTAGCCAAGTGAGTAACACCGCTTGACCACGACATCAATATTCACACTTTAGGGCAGAACAATAGTTTTGAAGTTGTTTTATTCAAACATGTAGGAGGATTGTAGGTAGTTATAATTTGCGTCACGACAAGGGCAACTCTGAAGCATTTGTGTAGTGTTTTAGTGGGTTAACTGGCGAGGGCAACAATCGCCAGACACTTTACCTACCTATAGGACACACGGTATTTTCAAAGCAAGACGTAGCAGCTAATTTCTGCAGGTTCACAAACTCTACCACGGCCACGCTTTTACAAGTAACGTAGTTGTTCGTCACTTCAATGGGATGGATGCCTTCATCGACCGAGGGCAGTGATAAGGAGTGGATGATTCAGAGGGTGCCTTCGATCCCCGAAGACAATCTCGCTCCACACTTCTTCATCCATTGTCAATTATTCAGCCGGTATTTTCATCCCATTGTTCTTTATCTTCGCACGTTGGTGATACCTTCATCCCCATGCCGCAGGTGATATAGTGGGGACAAGTGTGCGCGGCAACTCTATTGTTCTTAACAACTCTCCAACACTCGATTTGTCTCCGCGGCTACAAATATGTCGAGCTTGCTAAATACCAAGGGCAAGCATTTGCTTAGCCCACAGCCTGAGCCTCAAAACACGAAGAGGTGTCGGGCTATATATGTTGTTGAGTCGCCAGGAGGAACGATGAGAGAGACAGACCCTGCAGCTTTCCACCGGCCAAGGTTCTCGAACATGTCCGCCACGCAGGGTAAGTCAAATGAGACCAGATTTTCTAAGATCGTGGAACCAGACCCGGGACCAACTACTGGATCCCTCGCTGCTAGCTATCCGCTTCGTCCTGCCGCCAGCCGTCAGAGAACATACCAACCACAACAAAAAGAGGAACAAGACGAAGACCACGCCACTCTTTATCTATACACAAACCATGACCTCTCCCAGCAGCATCTTAGCACTCTCTCTGTTCGCGAGAAGCTCCGAAAGGGCATCGCCATGGGCTTTGCTAACACCCTAGCACATACGAATGCCACACAAGATGTGCTTCAACAAGGTTCACAAGGAAGCCCAGGACTGCAACCCATGGATACCATGACGATTAGTGGAATGATGACGAAAATGGATATGCATTATCATATGGTGCCTGACCTTTCTCGTCTTCACTCCAAAGGAGTCAGTAATCGCAAGATAGCGGAGATGGTCAACCAAGAGCTGATCAACACCGCGCCTGGAGCCACTGGACGAGCCGAATTTCTTAGGAAGAGGTCCCAGCATATCAAGGCTCGAGAGGTTCCGGTGTGAGTGTCTACCATCATCATATATCCGTGTTGGTAGTTCATACTTACAATTCTTCCTAGACGAGTAGCTAGTGAGCGTCTTCATATCATTACTGAAACTGCCAACAACAATCGTTATGCACCCTTTCCAATTCTCAATCTCCATCCTGAGCGCCTTATGCGTGTTGAGCCCTTTCTCAACAAAAACGACACGTCTCTCATTGTTCCTCTAAATTCGGAAGGATTGATGGCGTGGCTTGAATGGGCATGTCGCCGCTTCGGGTACTGGAAACTTGAACTTGACTCACTTCATTTCAAGCATGACATGGTGAGGAACAAGATGCTGAAACGGAGTGTGAGCCTCGGCACACACAGTCCAGAATCGGTCGAGATCGCAGACACTGTGGATGCCCTCAAGCTAGATGCTCGAAAAGGCAGCATCACTTTGTATGAGGCAAACGTGTGAGTTATCTTCAGGGGTGAATATGAACACAATACTGATTGCTGATTTGAAGTACGTGCGGAAGCCCTCTGCAGCAACAGAGATGGACATGGTTCAAAATTGTCAAGCCGCTTCTTGATATCAAAGGCCCCGTGCCAGAGAAGTATGGCGCGGGCGATGCCACTATGGTGTTTGCCATTCCCACATCGAAGATAAAGAAGATTAAGGAAGAATGGGACCCGCCCTTGGCCGTTCCTCGAGCCAAAAGCCAAGAGCCGTCCCAGCAAGATGCCTCTGCACAGCTTGGAGACTTCGGACGGCTCAATTTGGAGTCTTACACCCAAGAAGCGACACGCCAACTGACGCTCGAATGGAGATACAGCGAGAAAGGCATTCCAACCTTTGCAGTGACGCCGCATCCATGGTACATGAAGAAGTTCCCTCCAGACTTTCTCTGGATAGAGGATGCCCCCATCTACTCTGCCGACGAATCCTGGTGGGATCAGCTTGGTGAGAAAGCCATCAGCGATCGGGATCACTGGCACTACGTCCAAGCCCTCATGTCAGGAGACATTTGTCTCGTTGAGGCCAAGTCAAAGAAAGGAGGTAGATGGATCAAAGTCGCACCTCAAGTACCGAAGGGCAATACTGGGCGAGCTTCGATGTCCAGTCCGGGTGTTGGGAATTATCAATCCAAGATGGCCTTGGCAGCATCTGGGCTGCGCAATGAGATCCAGCGACATTGAGTATGATCAACCAATAGAGTTTGATATCAAGTCGGATGCAGGTATCATCAGCATTTGCCTGATACGGAGGCGCTGAGGTGAGATACAGATGGATGTCACCGCTACCATACCTATTGGAATTAGATTGGAGTGAAGATGGCATTTGACCAGACTGAGACACTGAATAAAGGAGAACAGAATGGCCTATAGAGACTGAGGCTTAGTCTTGGTAACTGGTGTAAAGATGTTAGCATAAATAATAGGTTTGACCGAGAATTAGATGGCTTACGCAGGCAATACAGGCCTGGCCTGTTCGTTCATAGTCAGCCAGCGCAATCCGGCATTGCGCACTACTTCTTTTTCTTCCCTTTAGGTGTATTGTCCTTCTTGTTTCCAGACATACCAGCCCTCGCAAAGGCGTCGCTGGCGACGGAAGTGATCAACCGGAATCTTTTGGATCCTAAATGGGCACCCCCGTACCAGCGTGTAACTACAACCATAGAGTCCCAAAGATCCATGGACTGCATCAGCTGCAGGAGTCGGGATCCGGCTCCCGTCTCACCATCGTCATTGAATTGCTGATGGCCAGTGCCCTCACCTCTAATACGCCACGCCGTGATATTGTGCGTTGCATTGCGTATACGTTTATCTGACTCAAGAAGAGACTCAACGTAGAAATTGGCCTGTGATGGAGATGTTACAGGGGTAACATGTGCTATGAACTCTGTGATGCGCCTTGAGGCTGTCCAGGCTGGGGCCTGTGATTTAGGCAGAATGGATTGGACTGCTCTCGTCGCAGCCATCATGTACTGCAACTGGATGACAATGAATCAGAATAGGGTTAAATCAGACAAGAAGGAGGTTAATTTTGTGTTTCAATGTCTTGAACTGCTTTATATCTTGTCTTGAAGTAGCTCCGTAAGTAGTGGATACCTCGAAACAACCACAATGTTAATGGGAAAGTTTTGTATCATGGACAATTCTTCTCCAACTGTGAGCTCGATTGAAGGAGGTGGGAGCTCCAAAGCTCAGCGGCTCTTGGCTAATATAATTGGTCAACTTCGTTTTCCAGGGGATTCTCTGACAGGTCATGAGCTGGCCAAAATTGGGATAACTTACCAGGAG